GTGGCACAGCGGCATGTCTGCGAACTTACAATGCTAGAATCCGGGTTTCGATACCCGTGGTGGGCAGAGCACAGATAGTCCTTGTGTAGCTTTGTGCATAATTAAAAACAAAAACAATCAAGGTCCGACCCCTATCTACAACTTTAGAAAAGTTTACTGAAACGATTTACGAAATCGGTTATATTTCGTTTGTTTGTTGTTTTTGAGCGCAAAGCTACACAATAGGCTATTTGAGCTGTTCCACCACGAGTACTGAAACCCGGTTTGTAGCTTTACCGCTACATTTTGATATTGATCATCAGGGTTCATATAGAATTTTCAAATTAATTGATTTTGATATTAAGATATTCGTGAAACAATGAACCAGATTTCAATTATCCGACGAAACTGGCCAGTAAGTGTAAGCTTTTGCAGAATAAAATCACTATTCAGACGTTTAATTTAATTAGTTATAAATTTCTACATTATATCTAAATCTCTAATTATACTGATGCTACTATCTGCAATATAATGGGATTAACTTGCAATCTTTCGAAAATTCACTGAAATTAGATCTTACAATAAGTTAATATCATGCAAGAAACAAAAATACGATTCATCTTAAAAATGAATTTGAAAATAGTGAGAGAGAAAAAGAGTGAGAAACCTTCATTAAAAAGTTCTTGATATAATTGTCTCATGTTATATTTTATCTTTTCCAATATTTTAAAGTTGCTAAACATCGGATATGTGTAGTATATGCACATGTAAGCTTACTTATAGAAGAGTTTAGTTTTAAACCTATACTGTCAAGAAGCTAACTCAAGTTTAGGGGAAAAAATCCAAGTTCGTTTGGCAAATATAAACTGAACATGTTCTTTTAAAAACTGTTTGAAATATTAGAATAATCTAAATATATTAGAAAGTTTCGGCTTTCTGGCTTTAGCTCCTCCTCCCCCTCCCCCTTTCCCGAGATTTCACAGACTTGATCTCCTGTAACAACCCAGAAAAATGTTGAAGAAGTTTACTTCAAAAAGTGACCGACGTCTTAATATTACTTTGAAAGTACTGTAAAAAATCTGTGTGTGTGTATCATTAAATGCTAAATATTGAATTTCTTGCGTTTCTTTATAACACCAATCACTAAGTCATCTGCCATTCACGTTCTTTAACATATATATATTTCTTCGTTTCGGCACTAGTATTGTCCATAAACAAATATTTCGTTAAATGATTTCGAGATTCAACTTGAAACTATTTTTATGTTTGTAGACAGTACCTGCTGGCTCAAATCAGTGTATCGTAAAAAAAAATACCTATTCGCAGGCGTAGCGGTAAGTGGGAACATGTTGGACTGAAGCTATCCCAAACTTTGCTTTAGTCTCCCCTGTACCCCTCGCATCAAACGAACAATACGTATGCCCACAAGATGTAGAGTGCAACGCTCTCAATTTTTGTCTAGCCCACCTTAGCCCCTTCATCGGAAAGAGGCTGGCGTTGCTTCTGTCTATTCGAAATTTTTATCATACGAAATAGCGATTTTTCGTTTAAAAATCACGCTTTTCATTTCGACTAAAACAAAATGAATGTTCTTCCGAATAATTATATATTTTGTTCTTTCTTGAAGGCAGGTTAGACGAAAATGCTTCCCAGCTTCACGCAATCGCTTCTTTACGAGTTCTTCTCGACGCCACGAAATCAAACTCCAGCGAACTCCAGAATGGAGCTGTTGTCGCTCACATAGCACCACCAACTGGCAAATACTGCTCCGTTTGTTCAAACTGTGAAACTTCTGCTAAATGCGTGTGCAAAGAAGTCAAATCAATTTCTAACGCAGTTGCTTCTGCACATGTTCATAATAACGTAACCACTCTGGATATAAAAACAGCGCCTTCTGACGGAAATACAGAAAATGAAGAATCTCAGATAAAAGCCGTCCAGATTAATAAGAAGGTAAGATTTTGTAATTTTCATACAACGACGTATTAGTCTAACAAAAACTTAATTTAAAATAATAAGTAACTGGAAATATATTATTTTAAAAAATATTGCGTAATGTTTATAGAAGGTGTTTGACTGAATACTCTTCATAAATAAATAAACAAAAATAAAACTAACGATTAAAGCCATCCAAACTACGAACTTATACGTCTTCTGAAACACTTTACCTATTTCTTTTCACCTGTAACCACTAACCAAGGTGACACTAGCTACAGGTATTATCCTCTATGAATCAACTAAGTTATTAATTAATATCCTGTGTTTATGCTTAACTCAGTGTGAATTTCGCTTATATTTCCACATTAAGAGAAGCGTTCTTTATTCTCCATAAAATTAATAATATAATAAATGGTCCAGTTAAACGATACCATGAAAGAACAAACTTGAAATAAGATCCAATCAAAATACAAAATAGTCACAAATACAATTTTTAAGAGGTATCTTAATGGAACAGATATTAAAATATGTCCACAATTTTCTGATCTATAATGTTAAGTTTATAAATTACCTTGTTCCGTTTCAAAATATCTGAATTATATGCTTCTTACATTTCGTATTCAACTGGCAAAATACTTGTCTGAATAGATAATACGCAGCATTGCTATTCAATGGTACGGTATTTTAAGCCTAATGTTCACAGCACAGTAATTACTAATACTAATTGTACGGTACCTTGAGGCCTAATATTAGAAACATTGTAATACACAGTGCTTTGTTTCTACCATAAACTTCAAGAGTACAACAACAAAAAATGTGATTATAAATATGTTGATATTACAAGACAATAATACAGATAATAATTTAAATCACAACATTATTTACTAGCTCAGTGCTTTGTTATACGCTCCAATATCCAAATTTTAACAATATACAAGTATAAACCTTTGTAAGGCAAATATATACTTATAATAAAGGCATATATATATATAAAAAAAATAATACTCTACCTAGAATTCTGATTATAAGCTTATCCTATGTTCCAGAAGGACACCAAAGTGAACTCTCTCACGCCAATAACAGATAATTCCGTCAATGACCCGGGGCAAACAAATTCCACAAGCAAAAACGCAGAAGACAAAAACTATCATCAGAAAGAAATGGCTGAAAACGTCGATACAGCCGATCCTGGACATTCACCGTCCGTCGAACCTTCTGCTGCTCCTACGGTTAATTTAGTCTTAGTGTTTAATAAATGTATTTTCAAAATTAAAATAATGAACTACCTGAACAATTTTTGGATTATACCAGCTTATAAATTATTGTGATATTTTATCTCACGGGCACTCTTTGTTAGATGTGAAGATTTTAACTTTTTTAAGTACGCGGGGCTGTAAACAGAGAAATCAATACGCGATTTTGAGGCCATGATTAACCTGTCAAACTTCCGCCCCCTGTGTGAATCTGCTAAAGTAAACTTTAAATTAAAAAAAAGAGAACGAAAAAAAAGACATCAAAATAAAATACCTATACTGTGTAAAGTTTCTTTAAAAACCGTAACACAAAAATCAGGGGAAAATTTTGATAAATCGATACTGATTACATATCTTCCGAGTGGTTTTTCCTGAATTAGAACAGCTGAAATCCTATAGAGGGTTGACACTTGACTCACAAATTTTCTGTCCGCCATCTTGTTTGACAAGCAATATTTCCCAGCCACACATCGATCGAAATTAATATTAAAAGGATTGTGTTGATAAAGCAGTAATTACGCAATGCCTGCCATTTGTGTAGTAGCAAACTGTTCGAACACAGGTGACAGGGATAAAGAAAAGTCATTTTTCTGCTTTCCTAAAGTGATCAAGACTCAAAGAGAGAAAACCAGATAGTTATCAAAAGATCGACAAAACAAATGTCAACACATCGCCAGGGCTAATATTACTAATATTATATGAGAGTAATTACGCCTACATTTCATAGCTGGTAAGTTTTAAAAAATCGGTTCAAAAGTAAACAAATGTAAGTTCTTTTTCAGCTATAATATAAATCTGGTACAATAATTTTGCATTGAAACAATAATTACATCTTTAAAAGTCAAGGTTTAAATGCCGAAAGCTGACGAAGTATTAGAAACTAATATTTTTCCATATTCCACTTAATTTATCCGTTGCAGGTTCGAAATCAGAGATGTGGAAAGAAACACTTCAGATTTTTTTATCACAAGTTTTAAGCCTATAAATATTTATATGTTTAAAGTTATGGTTTCACAACATAAAACATAATTGGATACCATTATCATCATACATAGCGACAATAAGTTGTATATTTCTTTATCTACCCAACCTTTTTTTTTTAATGAACATGAATTAACACATATTATTACCTTTGAATTCACTACAATATGCTCACTAATATTGTACTTGAACCCAATAAACAACAAAATGACTGTAGCCCTCTTTACCCTTGTTGGCTCTCAGATCTTTATTTTTAGCGCGTAGGGGTTTGCTGTTTGTTTGAAATATGTCACAATGTCTACGGTTCTTATATCTGGTAATAACTATATAATGGTTTTATGAATGCTGTTGGGGCCAGTTTTATCAATTGACGACAAGTGTTTCAAGTATCTTGTCTTTGATTCACCATCTAAAGTGTTACAAAACGATTGTTTGCTGATGTCCTTAGACGTTTGTTTTGTGTCCACCATATTGGACGATCGCTTGTCATTGAAGATGGCGCCGTATCATAGTTACTAAAACGATTATGACGTCAGTGAAAAAACCTTTATTGGTACAGTTTGACGTGTACTTTTGCTTTGTGAAAAGTTATAGACTGGATGAATATTTTAAACGTGTTTTTTATTATTTTTTGTCACGGCTACTACAGGATCGGAAAGCAAACTTTAAGTCGGAGCATGTAAAAGTCCACTAAAAACGGATGTTACAATTGATCGTGCATCAGTTGTTTATCAATGCTCAAACGTTACTACTGTCTTGAGTTTCGCTAGTGCAGTATTAAACGTAATTCTTTATAAAATGCCAATAGTAACTACAAACAAGAGCATATAATAAAAAAGCTAAAGGCCAAACATGAAAAATTCAATTTGAATACAAAAAGTCATTGTTCAAGAACGAGGTCCGATGCAAGTGCATGGCTTGCACGTGCCTAATAATACAACACAGTTGTGTCTGATCTCTATGCCTCATTATTGAGTGAGTGTAAACCTACGAACTCTGAATAGTTGTAATTACCTTTCAAGAATCTTTACAATGAGATAAGTAATCGTGAGAAATAGCATATGACCCTAATTATTTAGATTATAAAATAGTAAAATGTCTCATATATAACACAAATTTCTTTTTCACCAATACGGTGAATTAAAAAGGACTTAAAAACCCCCATACAGTTTCTGATACTTTTTTTAGGCTAACACACTTTAGTTTAGAAAATGTAACAAAATCGTTAGAAACTTTTAGGTAAATGTCTTTCCTTCTTTGCGAATTTATTCATTACATCATAATCAAGTGACACAATGCATTGAAAAGCGTAACTACTACACAAATATATATTTAAGGTTTTGTTGTTAATGTAATCATATTCCGTGTTTTATTGGATACCATACAATGTAATTCACGATGGAACTCTACTGCCAGCAATAACAATGGGAACAATACAATGGTTTTATTTTCTTCATGCCAGCTATTTAACTCACATTATTATAACAGATTGTTTTGTATTTGTTTTAAGTACCAGTTATAAATAGTTTTAATTAAGTATATATATAATTTATTGCTCATCATTAATTCCCAGAAGAGCCGATTAAAACTCGATGGCAGTGTGCCATCACACGTGATGTCCCAACAGAAAATGTGCTTAAGACACCAATACTTAAAGAGTTAAACCTTAAAAAAAAGGAACGTTTAGAAACCATTTAAAAAAATAGGAACCTTAAAAAACATAAGAACCTTTTTAAAACTAGGAACTTAACTTAAGGGTCCAACTATGAACCCTGCAATATAGTTTCATTGGACTGTAATTTATACTCTAACTGTATTTTATCAATTGTTTTTTTTTCAAGGATTCACAAATGACCATCCCGAAACAAGAAGAACACACTGATATTCCGCTTGATATGTCCTGGCCCGATACCTGGCAGAAGAGATTAAACTATGTTCTCCTTGCGCCAATCATTATTCCGTTATGGCTAACGTTACCTGATGTCCGAAAAGAGGTATATAAATTGATATAATTGTGTCTAAATGTATGTAGATATCCTCTTTTAAATAACTGGATCAGTTTATAGCGTTAAGAGCTTAATTTAGTCTAGCAAAGGGGCCACATGGTTCTTCCACAACCTATTATTACTTGGTAACAATTTTCTGAAATCGGACTTTATCATTACCATATTCTTTAGTTTTTACTATCAGTATCTAAGCTTAACATAATAAGTAAAAAGAAGATAAAAATTATTTTCTTTTTTTCGATAAAATTTCAAACTGGAGCATAATCAATGAATTTTAAGATTACTAATATTTCTAGAAATTAATAAACACATTTATTCCAGATTTTTTTTTTATATAAATATCGCTGCGTTCTGTTAAGCAATTTTTCTGATATATTTCGATCATCTTGCAATAAAGACAGTAAACAGTGCTGATCTCTAGAAAAATGGTACGGGACCTCTTTTTAACAGGTGAGAATGGATTTGAGTTTCGGAAGATAACAATTTAAACGTTTTTGGGGTTCCTATTTGGGATGGAGTTGTGGAGAAGTAATGTAGTTGACTAAGTCAAATATAAACTCACAATGTAAAAGAGGCAGTCTTAAAATAAATTATCGTGTTTCTGCCTTTTACATAAAACAACAACTCAACACAGGAAGAAATAATCACTGACTTTAAACCTCTATCAAATAGCTGGAACTTAAGGAATATGATTCCAAGTTGTCCTCGTGTTTTTACTTGCCTGAGACAAGGATCAGGGGTTAAACTGGGGTGGGGCGGTATTCCTCTTCTTCAGGAACCAAGCCATTAGCGTTCTTGATCTTCTGATTAGATTACAAAAATGGGTCACAAAAGGGAGTTCTACCTCTTTCAAAATCCCAATTTAACCACTGAAAAGGATTAAGTTATGTTCAAATGAAAAGATCAGGAATTATGATATAACTAACCATGTATCCTTTACATACTTTACGCTATCCTATATATCACATTGTAACCCCCGCTATTTCGTTATAACGCGATTACAACTTGGCTTCCATTTTTAAGTCGACAATTTTGCGCAACTACTGCTCTTCTTGGTTTCAAAATCCTCCCCCGCCCCCGAGTGGCACAGTGGTAAGTCTGCGGACTTATAACGCTAGAAACCTGGTTTCTATACCCGTGGTGGGCACAGCACGGATAGCCAATTGTACAGCTTTGCGCTTAACTATAGTAAAACAAAAATATAAAACTTTTTATATATACGTTTTTGTCGTCTTTGCTAACCGAAAAAAAAAAATACACGCTTTAGAGAAAGGGGTGGAGGCGAAGTTCGCGATATAACACGATCGCATTTTTTTTACCCGAACTATCACGTAATAACGGTGTTCTGCTGTAAATCTTTCTTACTTTCAATAATAGAAGTGGAATTTTGAAGTATATTTTCTTTAATTTTTTAGGAAAAACGACGGTGGTTCGCAGGCTCTTTTATTGGTAGTATCTTATGGATAGCCTTTTTCTCGTACCTGATGGTTTGGTGGGCTTCTCTCACTGGTGAAACAGCTGGAATACCGAACGAGGTAAGAAGCGCCATGGATTTTATGTCACTATTCGTGTGATGCCTATATACTAATGTAATATATGATCTATGAAAAATCTTAAACCATTCAGTATAAAACCGTGCGTATTTATGAGGACAAAAAAAATCACTTCGAAATAGATGAGAACAAGAATTCAAAATTGTTGTATTCACTTCTACACGCAACGGTGGGGAAAATTACCCAAGCCCCCTATTTCCACTTCAGTTGTCACTGTATAATAAAATCTCTAAATATTCAATCTTAAGAAGAGGACTTTATATACCTTTCTTTGAGCTACCGTGAAGATATATTAACTTAACTCTCAGGAAATACTGGTTTTCTGTTTGTTTTCCAGGTTATGGGCTTGACTTTCCTGGCTGCAGGAACAAGTATTCCTGACTTAATTACAAGCGTACTGGTAGCGCGTAAAGGATTTGGAGACATGGCGGTCTCCAGTTCAGTTGGAAGCAACATATTTGATGTAGCTATTGGGTGAGTTCTCTTCATGGAAAATTGTAAGTGAAAATATAATTTCGCTGTCAATGTATTCAAAATCCAAGATGACGGCCAGAATGTTTAGGAAACTGTTAGTTAGTATAGCTAATTAATCAGTATATATATATATATATCGAAAAACACAAAAGTTGTTTCATAATCTTAATTATTCAGAACATTATATATAATGAATAACAAATAATTAAATACTAATGTTTATTTTACTATAAAATTCTTCTGACTTTGTATCAGTTTTATATATATATATATAAA